TCTGTTTGTGGTTTCCAGGTCATGGTGGCAGCTGGCAGGAGCTGCTCAGTGCACGCGTGCGTCAGTCGTGAGCTGCAGATTAAGGGACTCTTCTTAGCACGCTTTCTGAGAATCGCCCCTGGCCCCACCCTCATCCCATCCAAGTGCTCGGGCCAATCTGTTCCTCAGTCGGGGCCGTGTTCACAGAACAGTGTTCAGCTCTAATCCTAATATATAACCACAATTCTATTTTAACATCAGAGCGTTACGTACCTGATTTAAGTGTGATGTCATACATAAGACCATTGACAAGTATAGTTCAATCACTGAGCACATTTTTGCATACCAGATACTTATGTAACCTAAATACAAGGAGTCCAAAGGGGTATTTTTCAAATTTAATATATTTAAAAAAATAATAATAAGTTACAATATGGTTAAATTCATGAAGTTTTCAATTTTACAACATTTATTAATTTATAAATATAATAATGTTCGATGTTAATTCAGAAAATATTAAATAATGTCAATTTATGCAACTTGAATGTTAAAAGTTCATTAGTAAATGTAGAAATTGATATTAACCTAGGCATATAAATAAATATAAATACAATAAAAATGCTTTTGTTCTTTGTTAGTACATAGCAAAGGCAATAACTAGTGTTAACTAATTGAAATTTATTGTAAAGTGTTACCAATATTTAAATTAATTATATTTTCAGTCCTACTGTTATGCTGATTAGTATTGATTAGTATGGGGGGGGTGTATTCTGAATTTCAGAATTTCCTATTTTATACGTCCCAATTTTGCCATAATATCAGCATGCAAATTTCCAGTGTGTACTGTATATTTGACAAGAAAATACTATTTACGTTTTTCCTACTTCAAAATGTCCTGTTGTTACTTGACTTTTCATTGTAATGAATTGTGCAATTTACTAGCAATTTCTGAGTGAAAATTGTTTCTACATTTATTTAGTGCCCTAAAACCATACAACTTTTAACTTACAAAACACCATAAAATATTTTGCTTGTGGAGGTTACTAAAAA